ATAGTCCCAGCTCAGTGAAATTGATTCCAACATTTTGGTTCTCATTTCATTCAGCAACAAAAACATTTACTGGGCACCAGTTTGGGGCCAGAGATGCCCATGACACAATTCCTACCTTCACAGTCCAGGAAGGCAAGCCTGGCACCAAGCCACAGGTGTTCACAATACAATGTGAAAATGGATGTCTGAACTAAACAGTTACGGTGGCTCAAAGGAGGGAACGGCTAACTCGATCTGCAGGGTAACCCACGCTCCCAGTTTGCTTGGCTTCACTACTAAAGCCGGGAACAGTCCCCAGAAAACCAAGGTGGTTGGTCACCCTCTGTGTCTGGGAGAGATGGAGAAGCCTTTAAAGAGGAAATGCCATGTGAACTAGAGCTTAAAGGGCAAAGAGAAGTTCACCAGGCATTTCAGGGAAATGGGGCCAGCGTGGTAGGCAGATTTAATAGGAGAGTGAAATTGGCTGTAGTATGTGAGCTTTGGCCAATGTATGTCCCTAGGTGGGGGCAGGAGAAGAAGGGCACACACCGAGGACGACAGACGTGGCCAGGGTCCCAATCATGGAGGACTGTGCATGCCACGCCCAGGGATCATGACTGTGTCCTGTGGACCGCTGGTTTTCAGACGACTGTAGCGAGCCCTTGGTTCAAATGAAGCCTTGCTCAGAAGCGGAGAGAAATAGAGAAAAAAAGGAAAATGTCTCTGATTGAAACAAGTGTAGGCACAGGCTCCCAGAGTCTTTACAGTGTATCTCCCTGCCCTGCCTCTTTTCCTTCTTGGCTGCCCTGGAGGGGAATTTTGGGGGAGTCCAGTAGGAAAACCACATGCATGGATCACGGGGGCTGGGGGTGGGGAGTGCCAACAAAGAGCTCTAACAGACAGCTCATTTTCTTTGAGTTTTTTTCCCTAACTCAGATAAAACCCAAATGTGATCCCTCACGCCTCGATCTCTTTTCCCTCGATCTTTCCTCATGTACGACTTGACTTTGCTAGTAAAAGCCTTTTTGCCATGACTGTTGTATTGACTGCAACTGTATTTGTCCCCCACAGCAGGGCAGAGGGTAGCAATTTTCTTTTTACAAAGATAGTACCCAGCTTACACACAGGACGTGTTCCAAAAGTTCATTTTTAAGTTAATCATTTGGAACTCAGAGTGCAGTTTCCCATAGAAACAGCATTATGCGTGGTGAATACGTTCCCAGGCCATCCCACAAAGGCCAGTTTAGCCCCTAATATAACTGAAAGTGTGGATTTTTTGCAATGGAAATTAGTTGGAAATAATACTGTTGCAATTAAAACGAAAACAATAGCTGGAAAAAAAATCGTCTGGGTTTTTGTTTCCTTCAAGGGGTAGGACTTGATGAAAAGCAGGTTTAATCCTTGGAAGACAGAAAGACATAGATGAGGAGTTCTGTGTAAGTTTGGCTGGCACAACTTCTTACATTTATTTTTTCAGTAATGTTTTGGAGGGTTTTTTTTTTTTAAATAATAAAAGCTATCGTGTCCGTTGTAGAAAATTTGGAAAATCGAAAAATATGTTTGAAAACTGAAGTCACGAGTAATCTTTCCAGCCAGAGAGAACCACTGTGAACATATTGGTGTGTTTTCCTTTCGACCTTCTCCTGAGTATGTGTATTTTTTCATCGAGCCAGCAGTTAACAGAAATACTGTTTGATGTTTTACAAAGTTCTTCAGAATGATCTAGTGTTGAGTACAAGGCAGTCTTGCGGTTTGACACCTAGACTGGGGGGCGAGGGCGTTGGAAGCAAATCGGCACCAATCAACCGGGAGGGGGTCCTCTTGTTAGGCTACCAACTGAGGCCCCCCGCACCCCCCAGCAAACACCAGAGTCATTTTTTTTTTAATGTTTTATTTATTTATTCATGAGAATCAGATAGAGAGAGAGAGAGAGGCAGAGGCAGAGGGAGAAGATGCGGGGCTCGATCCCAGGACCCTGGGATCATGACCTGAGCCGAAAGCAGACGCTTAACCATCTGAGCCACCCAGGTGCCCCAGAGTCGTTCTTTTGGTAGAAATTCAGAAAAGGACATCCGTTCTCTGTGAAGTGCTGTAGAGGTTCATGGCACTGGCTCCTTAAGCTGATTCCCCATCAGATCACAGAGCTTTCTGCTCCCGTGCTCCTGTGTATCACCAGCCCTACTCAGGCTGCACAACTATGATGAAGGTCATTTGTAAATTCCCAAGTGGAATGGAAAGAGGGGCATGCATTTCCTGAGGTAATGAGGCGTGAGCTAAAGAGAGGTGAGGAGGATTATGCGTACTCATGAGGAATGAGATTATGTGGAGGACAATGTATTGAGCCACAATGGTGAAAGAAAGGTGGGGAAATGAAAGCATGTAAGCATGCAGGCAGACCCAGGGAGCGTGGAAAAGGAGAAAAGAGAGGTGTGTGTGTGTGTGTGTGTGTGTGTGTGCGTGTGCGTGTGTGTGCATGCAGGCGCACACGGGCGTGCTTAGGACCAGGCCTGGCTACAGAGCAGATAACAAAGCAAGCAAAGGACAGTGAGCGTGGCAGAATTGTGGCCAGCGGAAATAAGACAGTTTTAAGAGGAGGCAGCAAATGTAATGTGCATGGCCAGCAATTTTCTTTTAATAAGGGAACAAAGACAGTTTGTGAGGACAGGTGCTTCGAGCGCTAATCGTCCAAGAACGAAAACACCCTGTTTGAACTTAATGTAATATATCTGCTGTGATTGTGCACCATTTGACTTTGCCCGATTGATGATTTCCTAAAAAGAGTTTATAAATGCATTCCTTTTTCATACTGGCTTTTTTTTTTTTTAGTCGAGACTAGATGTGCAACTGACTTGTATTTTTGGCATGGAAGTCCCAATAGCTGCCCTGTGCATTTGCTGTGCGTCAGCGAAGGAACTGAAAATCAGAAAGGAGTGAGGGGTAGGGGGAAAGAAGGTGTTGGTTTGGAGGGGGCTGTATTTACATGTGGGTTTTTTTTTAATGTACTGGGGGGAAAACCAGAAAGTTTCATCGGACTCTGTAGAAACATACGCCATTGAAATTCTCAGCCATCACCACGTTAGAGAATCTCGCTCTATGGGATTCTGTGGCTCTCGTGTCTGGTGAGCTTACAATGCAGAGATTCTGGGTTAAGTGGGCTCCGAGTCCTGGGCTAGTGGTTCTCAATGTTGGCTGTAAATTGGAATCTCCTGGAGAGCTTAAAAATCACCGAGGCCTGCCTTCCAATCCCCAAAGACTTTCACTTCATTGGTTTGGGGGTGAGAACTGAGCACGTGGATCTTTTAAATCTCCCCAGGTGATTCCTGTGTGCAAGCAAGTCAGAACCTCTAGTTTTGCCCATTGCTTTAATTACCCAGGTGGATTAAACCGGCTCTCAAAGTGTGGTCCTGGAACCAGCAGCTTCAGCATTAACAGGGAACTTGTTTGAATGCAAATTCTTTGGGCCCCTTTTCAGATTTACTGACTCAGAAACTCTAGGGGTGACCTATGAATCTGTTTTAACAAGCCTTCTAGATGACTCTGATGTGTCCTAGAGGTTGACAGCCACTGGATGAAACAGCCCCTCCTAACCCTAAGTTTCTAGGCAGGAGGAGCGATGACCCTACCAGCTGATGAAAACTGGTCCAAGAAAGGACTTTGATAGAAATACTTATAATAATAATAGTAGGAGCCATGGTGGGCAAAGGGAAAAGGGGGTTGGGGTAGTGGGCGTAATAATTTGCTACAAAGCCCAAGCAAGTTCAGGAGGGAGCATGGCTTCATAACAGTTACAGCATTGGTCACCTCGGCAGACAGAACCCTGGTGGCAATACCTGTAGGGAAAATTACTTATCCTTCAAAACCCCGTTCCGATGCCAACCTCCTCTGTGAAGCTTCCTCTGAGCTCTAGGGTAAATTGCTTCCTCCTTGTATTTACTTAACACTTGCTCTATCCCTCCATTGGCTTCTTTCTCACTGTATTGTAGCTACTTACATCTCGCTCCCTCACTCAATTGTGTGATCTTTGAAAGCAGGGCATTCTCTTACTCATCCTTGGGTCACCAGTGTCCAATACAATACCTGATACATAGTGCCCTAGAATTGTTTGTTTAGAGGAGGCATGAGGAATGGCCACCTCGCTTTGGCCATCTTGAGCTTTCAAAAGATGGGTTTACCTTTGTGAATTAATCAGGCACCTGGGTCTGGCTCTCTCCCTGGAGGCTAGGGCCCTTGATTCCATCAGCACGCAGTGAGTCTGTCCATGTCTGTCAGGGGTGGCCCTACAGAACAAAGATCTCAGAGATCTATTAGCAACTGGTTATTTTTACAGAAGGATACATAATCGTCAGGTTCCGGGACTCCTAATGGCAACTTGTCTCATATTTTCTCTTAGCACAGGTAGACCTTCATGAGCAATCTCCTTATCCTCTATAGGGATACATCTGCCACAGGACGAAAGCACCTGACTCTTTGGGTCTCACAGGTTCCTTTTCATCCAGGCCCTATGATCCTCTGGTTCTTTGTGCTTCTCTAATTCTGTAATGTACTCTGTTCATCCCTGGTCTGCTCACCGACATTCTTCAAACAAGATAAACACTTAGTAAATTACAATCACTTTTGTCACTGCGCCTTCTGGAGGTTGTACGCAGGCCAACGTGTTCCCCACGTCTTTACAGTCACAGATGCACAGGCTTAATTTCCTAGGTGGTTAATCACACATTCATTATAAATGGATTTGTACCGCCTTAACTCTCAAAGGACAATCTTATAACTTTATTTCCAAGGTTTTCGGGGTGGGGCCCCTCAATGTCACCTCAGTTGCTGCCAAGAGGAACGATTTCTCAATGTTATAGAAACTTTGAAATATATGTCAGTGTCATTCTCTAAAATGGAATTTTTAAGACCCAGAGTATAAACCGGAAGAAACTGGATTTGTATCTTCTGTGCCAACTCACGATCCTAATTTGTATGTGCTGAATGGGTTTTTCCGGTTTTTTTGTTTCTTTTTCTTTTTTTTCCTGTAGGCATTATATCTGATAGCCACTAATGGAACCCCAGAGCTCCAGAATCCCGAGAGACTGTCAGCTGTGTTCCGTGACTTTTTAAATCGCTGTCTTGAGATGGATGTGGACAGGCGAGGATCTGCCAAGGAGCTTTTGCAGGTGAAAATAAAATAGGACAATTACAAAGAGAGAGTGATTATATTGAGCTTTTCCATCTCAATGTGTGACAGTAAGAGCTGTGTCAAGAGATGTCTAGTTTGAGTTGGGTGTACCCATTTGATTTTAGGCCACAGGCACATAAGTATGGACATGCATCTAAGACAAGATTGATTGGCATGTTGCCCTTCTTCTGAGAAGGTGGCGCTTTAATCTGTAAATCTCTTTTGTTCTTCCTGGAGTCTTATTTTGCGAGGAAAAAGAAAACTGTGAACCTCTGGTGTTGCTGTTTTGTTCTAAACTTTACTTGTGCCCCTGGATGTTGTATGCAGGTGCTCTGGGCCGGAGGTAATTCTCTACATAACTATGCAATTATTTCCATGGCATTTGCTACCCTAATGCTTTACTGGTCAAAGCCCCTTTGCTTGTGATGCCAAATGGCAGGCACCTGCTTGCCTGGGTGAGTACCATCCAGTGGTGAGTGCCTCTGTAACCATTTGTCCTTTTCATGGCTCTCAGGGATTCGTCTATCTGATGATCATGAGTACCGACTGTGTGCCAAATTCTTTACACATATTATCTCATCTAATTCTGAAAACAACTCTATAGGGTAGGTGGGATTAGCCCACGTTACAGATGTAGAAATTGAGGCTTACACAGCCATCGAGTGGCAGAACTGGGATTTGAGCCCTGGATTTTCTGACCCTCCCCCGAACAAACACACAAACCGATTTAGAGGAAAAAAAAAAAAATGCTTATATCAATAAAGTAACACATGCCCAGGACGACACATAGATATACTCCAGTGCTGGGGACTTTTCCTCGGGGACATGTATCAAGCCTGTAACATCTAAAAACAGTGACTGCGTATTCTCTCCGTGACTTCGAACACTTAATCCATTTAAACACAAGGTGCAACATTTGGTTATCTAGTGTGTTAACCCCAGACTCAGTCTGTTCCAGGCAAAAAAAGAAATAAAATCATTCCTCTTGCTCCCGAACCCCCTCCAGACAGAGAGCCACACCCGGGTCAAAAATATCCCACCCCGACCCAAATCACACCTGGAATAAACTGATTTCCAGGAATCAAAGAGGCTACACCTTCGCTTTTCTGCTGTGAGCATTTCACAGGCTGTCCCACGGGCTTGAATTTCAAATCTGCAATGGCCCTTCATTGATCCTCTCTTTAAGCCGGCTTCAAATCACAGATGAAAAAAGCTGAACTTTAGAGTGCCTCGCTCCCACATCTCTTCACTCCTCCCACCACCCACAGACACATCCTGATACATGTTCCAAGGAGAAGTGATGAGATGGGTTCTCTTAATGTAACTATACAGTTACATAGATCATTGAGTCAGTTACCTAGTCAGTTCCTTCCCCGACAGTACTTGGATCTGAACCAGTCAGCTAAGTAATGCAAAACTATATTTTGAGTCTAAATTGAATAGTTTGTTGCCTCTTTTCATTTTACATGTTAGCAATAACCTGGGTATCACCCAAAGTCCATCGAACACTGTTCTCCGACTCCAGCCTGTCACTGCCCATTTCAGGGGCTAGAAAACAGAGGGATGCATGACATTCACCCCCCTAGAAGGCTTGAGAAAAGACACGGGCCTTGAGTATTTGTGTGCCTTTCTGTATGGCCTAAGTCAAGTCTCTGTGCATCAACTGATGTTTTTTGAGCAACTTCAATGTGCAGGGCTCACTGCAGTGGGTGATACAAATCTTAGAGGCATGGTTCCTACTCTCCAGAAGTTCACAATGTCCTTGGGTATATGAAAAAAACAACACAAGGTTTTTTAAAGACTCATTCAAACCCAGTGGCTATTCAAACAATAAATGCCATGGTTGATTAGAGAAATACCTGTATAGGTGATGGTGATGAGAAAGTGTCTGCAAACAGGAAAGAGTTCTGCCGAGTCTTGAAGGACAGAGCAGCTTTAACTGGCTGAGGTAAACAAGGGAAGGGATTTCAGGTGGAAGGATTATAGTGTGACCCAAGCCATGGAGGAGGCAAGGTTGAAGGGAACAGAAAATAAAGCGGACAGCCGAAGTAAAGAGGTCCAGTCAGGAGGCTGTAAGAGATACGGCCATAGAGGGCCTTGAACACCAGGCTATAGAACTGGGGGGCTGTAGCCAGTGGGGAAACCCTGAACATATCTGAGGGACACCTGGCAACAGCTTTGTATAGGAAGGTGAATCTGGTGGAATACAATAAGAATTAGCAATGGGACAAAATGGCAGCAGGAAGATCAAGGAGGACTTACGGCTACAGTTGAGGGTTCAGTTGATTCGGGCTGAACTAAGGAAGGCAAGAGATAACGGTGGAGGGCATTGAGAAGAAAGGACTAGGTAGGTGATTACATGTAGAACATAAGGGAGAAGAAGACAAAAGCGACTTCAGAATATCAAACCAATGGCAGCATGCAGTAAAAGCAAAAATGATGGAGGATAATACCATGGCTAACATTTCTTAGCCTCTGTGTAGCTTACAAGGAACTGTCACTTACTTACCTCATCTAACCATCATAATAAGCAGAAGAGAGACTTGAACGTAGGTGCTGCGCAGATTCCAAAGCCTCTGCAGCTTACATCACACAGGAGTACCCTGTGCTGTGCGAGAGACTTTTTAACATACCTTTTTAAATGTTGATTTCAAGGGGACGGAAGGAAAGGACATTCGGAAGGAGATACCCAGCAGGCAGTTGGAGAGATAGGACCAGACTTCAGGGAAGGGATCAGGTCACACCGTATTGATTTGGGAGTCATCCCCATTAATCTGATGAGAGGTCAAAACCATGAAAGAAAGTGAGCTCTCAGAGGAATTAAGTTAGGAAAAGAACAGGATGAGCGCTGAGTTCTGGGAGGTGGGAGGAGGAAGGGAAAGTGGGGAAGAAGATAGAAGGGGAGGAGTCAGTGAGCGTGCACGGGGAAGGGAACCAAGACTGTGGAATGTCACAGGCCCCCAACAAGGAAAACATTTCAAAAAAAGAAGGGATGTTCATTTGTATTACATACTGCAGAGGGGCCAAAAGAAAAATGGTGGAGGCACAGCTCCGTCCGGGGTTTAGCAGTTGAGAAGCCATTGGCTTCAGGGTCAGGGGCCACCAAAGACACTTTTTCAAGCAGGAGAGCTGCCCCAGATAAATGCCTCAGTTTGAGAAAATCAGCAAACGAGACTGTTGCAAACCTAGTGCGATTTTCGCAAGACCCCTACTCCGAGTTTCTGGCTCTACCAGTCAGCTGTCAGAGGATTTCATGACACTGAATGACAGGAACATCAGAAGGCCAAAAGCTGGCATGATTTTTTTTTAATTTTATTTTATTATGTTATGTTAGTCACCATACAGTATATCATTGGTTTTTGACGTGGTGATCCACGATCCGTTTTCGTATAACACCCAGTGCTCCATGCAGTACGTGCCCTCCTTAATACCATCACCAGGCTAACCCATCCCCCCACGCCCCTCCCCTCTAAAACCCTCAGTTTGTTTCTAGGAGTCCATAGTCTCTCATGGTTCGTCTCCCCCTCTGATTCCCTCCCTAAACATTTTTCCCTTCCTTCTCCTAATGTCCTCCATGCTATTCCTTATGTTCCACATATGAATGAAACCATATGATAATTGACTTTCTCTGCTTGACTTATTTCACTTAGCATAATCTCC